TGCAGTCGGTGATTAAAACGACATCATTCACCATAACAACAATCGAACAAAGTTTTGGAAGGGATAATTTCATTTCTCACTTTTACACAATCATTGTAAACACAATCAATCAACTACACTCTCGTACAAATAACAACCGATTGGCCAATCAAACAAATAATGAACTGCAATCAAGCTAATGAACCAACCTGTTCAAAGAATTCCTCCATGAACTGTCCCTGTGTTCCATCGGTCGCACCCAAATCGTCCTCATGATCCTCTTCGGATTGCGCCTTCAATCACATCGTTATCGATACACACAAATAAAAATGAAGTGAAGCAGTGCATTTGGTATCCATCCGAAAGTAATTCAATTCAAAGCACATTACTCCAAGCATTTAAACTTGTTCTCTTCATAATGCCCCATCGAACTCAAAACAAACAAACGATCATGACACTTCTAACGATTCAATTATTCTTCATTCACTTCTTCAGAAACGTTTAATGAATAAACCACTCATGAAGCTATTCAAACGATTTCTTCTCATTCTAAACAATACCATTTTTATGTCTAATCTAAATAAATTTCAAGAAATCTAATCGGAGAAAAGATTTGATTGTTTGTAGTTTTTCTTTATAAATGCTATAAAGAAAACAACTGCAGACAAGAAAAGCGAATGAATTGAAATAAAGATTAATTTAGCAATAACATTGCTAAACTGAACGATATTCAGTTTAGCAATATCTTTATTTCAATTGATGCGTATTAATAATGACAGATACTTAAGTTGAGTGCAGTTCAATTACTGTATCTCATAAATTGTTATTGAAACAACCAACTGAAGTTTGAAAATTACCGCTTTAAGCGCGCTCAAACGATCCTTTGTCATCGACGATCGTTATATAATAAAATGATTATATTTAATAATAATAATTTTGTTTAATCCGAAGTATTGGTCCAAATTAGATCCGTTTAAAATAAACGAATCGTTTGTGGATTGCACTGAGATGAAGCTGATAAAGCAGATTTGACAAGAAGTATTATTGAGTGTAGGTTACGGAGTATGGTTTAACTTATTGTTATATGAGAGTAGGTGGAATTAATACATTTATATAAATTGATAACACATTGTTTCGATGTGTGCTGCTTGCAGACACGTAAACAACAGTCCAGGATCAGATTCACGAATTTAAAACCTTTCGTTGAATCAGTTGGTTTGTTATGATTCTCTCGGAGGATTGTTTGGTTGTTCTATCGAAATGATTTGACCTGAATTCGGAATAATGTTTATTACATCATATCAGTTAGGTGTTTAACGCATTTCGTACCATGACAATATGATTTGAAAATAGGCAAAGTAAAGCATATAACAGAAAGTTGTATCACTGGATGGGTGCAGGGTAGTGAGATGGCTGGCTATAAGACATTCATTTGCATTCAATAAGTAAACGAAATACTGATAATTAAATATTAATAATAGTAACAACAATAATAACAACTCTGATAATAACAATAATGAACAAAAAGTGCAGCACATTCAATTGACATACCGAACGTTTCAAGGACGAGTTCAGATGGATCAAATGAGATGTGGATATCAGGATATAGATGGAAAGAGAGATGAAT